TTTTGCTCCAGGCACTTAATGTTAAGCGATTCTACTACCAGACTTTATTTAGCTGGTGTCAGATTTGCCTATCTCGAGGCAGGCTTACCAAATCCTTGGCAATCACCAAATGCATCATCTCTTGTGCGATTAAATTTGCTTCTACGTTCTATCAAAAGAAAGTCAGGACAACGTACTAAGCTTCGCCTCCCATTTACAACGGAACTTGTTGCCAAAATGTTTTCAGCACTAAATGAAACGGTTTTCTCCCCTTATACTGACCTTCTGGTGCAAACAGTAATTTTAGTGGCATTTTTTGGTTGTTTGCGTTGCGGGGAATTTACTATTTGTAAGGAAAGTTTTGATAGCAACGTTCATCTTTGCATTGAGGATGTCAGTTTTGGGGGTGATGATCGTGCTTTTATTATGCTCAAATCCTCAAAGACGGACCAGTATCGGCGAGGTTCGGTTATAAATTACTTTTCTAACGATCGTATGTGCCCAGTGGCTGCCATTCGAAAATATTTGGCCATTAGATTGAAAAAGAATCCTGCCTCCAAATCAGAGCACCCCTTAACAACCTGCCTTTGACTCGATCTGTGTAACTCGGTTACTTACATCAGCTTCTGAACCGCCTGGGTTTGGACTCGTCTAAATTTTCTGGACATTCTTTTCGGATTGGAGCTGCATCGTCTGCAGCACAAGCCGGAATTCAGGACCACTTAATAAAGGCACTCGGCCGGTGGTCATCAGATAGTTATGTGCGATACATCCATACTACAGATGTAACTTTGGGCTCTGCACTTACTGCCTTGGCTAACAACTCGTAGACTAAATTAACAGGATGTGGAAAGTTGATGTAGGGATGCACTTAATTTGTAGTGCAGTAGGCCTTGAATTTGTACTAGTAATTGTACTTTATATTCTATTTTTTTTTTTAATATTAATTAAAAATTTCCTTTAATCTTGGGGATTTTCTGCGATATTTTATATCGCATCATTTGGGGACTTCGCAATTACTTGTGCTCATTTATTCCCCAAGATAATCACCATAAGGTGCGTTTACAAAGTGTAAAGTTTACAATTTTGTTCAAGTGTTTTTATTACTAACATTTCAGTAACCATTCATGTGTAGTTGTGGTCCTCACCATCTCTACCACCTGCCAGGTACAGCCACGCTGTCGTTATTTCTGTAGTTGCAGTTCCCACTGCCTCAACCTACCTAACCTTGTCATTACGTAGTTGCGGTTCTCATCGCTCTACCAATAACCATTCATGTAGTTGCAGCTCTCACTGCCTCTACCCCTAACTCACCTCTGGTAGGTTCGGTTCCCACTGTCCTACTACCACCTCATCTACTAACCACTAACAGTTCTCACTGCAGTAACCTTTGCAATATTTTGTAACTGTGTTTTAAGACTTGTAGTTTTTAATCTTGTTATTTGCTGTAAGTTTTCTACTTCTGCTTAGGGGGTCCACTGTGGTGCTTTCCATGTATACCGGTTTGCTTGCTACTGTTTCTGGCTCGTATCCCAAAGTTGCTAACAGTGGACCCCCCGATTTGCCAAAAATAAATTTGTTCTATTTTAATGTACAACTTCAAGTGTTGTGTCATAAATTCATTCTAAGTAATTATCGACATATTAAACGGGTTCATAATATTACTGAGATAAATAAAATAATGATTAGGTATTCACAGAGCCACGTGATGTGACGTCATTTGCATTATGCATATTAACGTATCAGTGAGTTGTCATGGTTTAATTTGTGTCCAACTACTTTTATTCCCGTCCCGCAGTCTTCTGACGTTGAACAGTGTGTCGATTACGTCATCGACTTCACTTATTGGATGAATAAATATTAGATGCGTGATATTTAACAACAATAAACAGAGTCCTTGACAACGTATGAATATTCATTTTCCCGTGCTTTTGAATGGTTGAGGAATAATGTTCGAGACAACGTCGTTATTTGAAACAACGTATAATAGCAATCCGTTTCGACGTACAGACATTGCAGACCAGGGCAGACACACGACGACATCTGAATACAACGCAGTCAGGCACAACCCACAACATCGGCATTCTTTCGAGAACTATATATATTCAAGTGAGTAGAACATTTCTAAAAGTACAGTATATACTTGGTGATGGTGATTATTGGCCGTTGTTCACGTAATTATATAATGTTAATCGTTTGAAACAAATGTTTGGCTTGGTTTGGAATTGGAATTATGCATATTATATATGAAAATCATTCAAAAGTATTGCCTAAACGGATTAACCAGTTAGACAATAAATCGCGCTCAGCGGATTAGGCTTCCAACGTTTGTGGTATATTCGCACAGGACAGGGGTAAACCCTTATTGTATGGTCATCCCAGGTGAGATGTATCTGTAATCAGCCGATCCTATCAATGCGGGGAAGAATGTGCAAGTGATTGAGCTGCGTGCGAGGGTTTGTGTGTATGCGTGTATGGTATCAACGTTATGGGCACTTTATTTAACTTTACACAAATCAAGTGACGACATACCTACCAAGTAAGGACCAGCAATATTTTCATAATTTATATTAAAATTTAATCGAAATTAAGGTAGCAAGCGGGGATTTTTTTTTCTTAATTTTTCAAAAAATGTTAAAACGTTTACTTAAACCGTCATCCTAACTTTTCAAAAATCGAAATTTCGGAAAGACGCTGCTCAAACTAGTACTATAGTATTTTAAAGGCTAACACAAATAGCCACAACTGCCGTTTCGTGGATATTTGCATAATTTTTATCTTTGGAATGATTTAAATGATAACACCTTATCTGTATACTTTGCTGTTGACGATTCTCACATAATGGGTGATAAGCTACCCGTCGTAAACAATGTGTGTTTATTTAACGACCCTCGTTAGCCAACGTTTCCGTTTACGCTCAGAGCGTGTGCTCATCTAATTTAACGTTAACATTGTCGTTTTAGTTTTCTATTCTCAGCAGGGCTTTCTCTTGCAAAATATTATCAATAAAACTAAGGTGGTAACATTGGTGCATAAGTTTGACCCGTTACACGTTTTGTTTGGAGTTCAAAGTAGTGGATGCAGTCATAACGAATTATACTTGCTTATGACGAAGAAAGAACGTAACATTGATATAGCATAGTCGAAAACAGTGAACCATTCAATTGAAAAATTGTAATCGTCATACTAAGCAGACTAGGAGAGATGTACGGGAGATCGAGTCTCAGTGCAGTGCGAGCGGCGATCAACCGACGCATCAACTCACCTCCATGATATAATCGCAACCTTAAAGTGCGGTAGTCGTCGCGCTGCGCATGAGCGAGATATATGGGTCTCATATAAAAAAAGATGGCGACTTTGACTGTTGCGCAGATCAACGAGTAAGAACTGAGACGTTTCCAAGCTTTAATTAGGTAATTTTCATGTTATTCGAAGCTATCAAGGAGTCACCGGCGGTAATCAGTGCAAGTCGGGCTCAGGTCAAACCTCATACTTGTGATTTCCATTTGAATAGCGCATTGGATTGTGGAAAAATCAGTGTTTATCAACACAAATGTCGCACATGCGCAGGGCGACGACTACCGCGCTTTAATATTTTGTAAGACCGCGAGTTCAACACTGCCGACAACACGTTCAAAGACTTAAAATCGAGGGACATAAAATAGCAATATGCATGGAAGATATGAAGAGGTTGGCCGAGACCAACGTGCTATTGATGGGTGACCCTCTATGGTTCGGTGTCAGGACGGTCCGGCCCAGCTCATTTGCGGCCCTGGTAAATAAAAGACAATCCGGGTCTATGAGTAAATAAATAAATTATCTAGTTCTGTGTACGTTGGGTTTCTGATTTTCGGGCAATACATTTCAGTTCCGCACAGGGTCCGCATTGTTGTGCTTTGTTGGAATGTGTTTCCATGAAGAATTGCAGAACAAAAGTCGGAATGTGACAATGTAGCAATAATGCCTTCACTTTGGGACCAAGTTAAACGCTCGACTTCTTGTACTATATAGAGTAAAATACAAACAACGAACTGTTGGTTGGCGACAGAGCATTGTGTAAAGCGCGGCTCCGCAATCACAGGGATTGCACCAGTGCATTATGAGGAATGTAATTTGCATGGTCCGCCCAGTTGTTTACTTGGTACATATATGTTATCATTTAAACTGAAGGTGTTAAAGCGGGAGG